AGTATAGGCTCTTACTTGTAGAACTCATCTGTTGCTGGAGTTCTCTTCAGAGCAGTGGCATTCGATACGTTACTTAAAGCTGCCAAATCAATCTCGTTGCATCCTTGCGGTCGACCAGTATTTCCTGAAACAACACTTCGTTCAAAATAGAGCACTCTTGAAAATGTTTACTATCAGATTGACAGTTTACTCCTAGACGCGCAAGTTTTTAGAAACAGTTACCTGGCACAAAACAAGCACACGTATTCCACCAATATCCGCAATCAGCCCATAGGAGTCGTTTTCGAAATGATAGTACAAAATAAAATAAAGCCCAACTAATGACCACGTTGTAGTATAGCATAGTGAACACTGAATTGATGATCATAGCAATGCCAACACCTTGCCATCCTTTAGCTAAGATGAACGCTTTCGCTGGTCCACGACTAGAAAATTGTCCCAATGATAATTCCAGATAATACAACGGAGCACCAATTAAAAAATAGAGAATGAAATAGGGTATCAAAAATGCACCTAAAGTATGCGGAAACAGATATAGTTGTTAAGACACAACCGAGAGAGTGAAAAACATACCACCGCCGTTTTGTGCTGCTAAAAACGGAAATCTCCATACATTTCCGAGACCAACTGAATTACTGATAAGTGAAAAGACGAATTCTATCGGACGATCCCATTCATGGCTCTCTTCCTAATTAAAAGTATATGACTTGAAATGTGTTTTGGAGACGATCCATGCCTTCAGCTCGTTATTTGAAACTTTCAGTCATTTACTGAGTTAGTGCTTACAAAGTAATGGCTATTACCATTGATTTGAAGATAAAACGGTTGCGGTTGTATTTTGAATAGCTTATGCACGAAAGAAAATCGCCCTGTTCGAGTTTTCCAGAATCGATATCCAAGAGGGGATAGAATTAAAGCCTATTTGAGAGTACAACCTTAAAGTGAGTTCTACAATGCGACTTTTATCTCGAGAAGTTCACAATGGAATATGTATTTTCTTACATAGCCGCAAGGCATGTCAATTATTGCTATGGGGTACTACTATTGGTTTCAAAACACAATGGTGTCTCTCATTTATTGAATAACCTTCTGCCACGAAACAGATAAATCATGCCGTTTTTACCATTGAAAAGAGAAAACATTTTGATATGAAATTATGAGAAAGCCGAAGCACCGGTTGCAGGTGGTGTACCTCATGCAGCTTTCAAAGAGTTGATCAACAGATCATGTAGAGTCAGTGGATTTCAGATCTAAATTTGGTTATTCAACAGCTTAGACAGTGGTCTACACTTCTAGGAACGTCCCATCTCTTTACTTAACATGGTTCAGGAGCTACATCACTTTCCTAGACTTGTAGGTCACTGTCTAAGCTGGCGAATAACCAAATTTTAGATTTGAAATCCATTGAGTCTACATGGTCTGTCGATCAACTCTTTGAAAGCTGCATGAGGTACACCACCTGCAACCAGTGCTTCGGCATTCTCATAATTTCATATCAAAATGTTTTCTCTTTTCAATGGTAAAAACGGCATGATTTATCTATTTCGTGGCAAAAAGTTATTCAGTAAATGAGAGACTCCATTGTATTTTGAAACCGATGGTAGCACCTTGGTCCTAATGGAAATTACTCGAACTCTTCACCATTCATCGTTAGTGGGTGGCGGGGGCTGGAAGTTTTATGAGCTAAGGTCCCAGACCAATTTTATTCTTTTGATGTTCAATGGACATAAAACAGACGTCCGATCACCTCGATTAAGAAAATAAAAATTGTAACGTTGTGCAGGACGGACGACAGCCTGTGTCGGATATGTTTCTGAGATTCACAGGTTCTCTGTTCGCAGATCTGATGTAGCTCTTGAACCATGTTAAGTGAAGAGATGGGACTTTCATAGAACTGTAGACACTTCATAGAATTGTAGGCTGGCTATCTAGTGGCATCGAGCTATCTAAGATATCCGAACGCGGTTTCCGACGACTTCTGATAAATTCAAAAATAAAAGGAAACGTTGGTTATCGGGCGTTTATTTTGAATATTGTGAGCATATCTGGTTTTCGATAAACTTTTAAAAACCTAGTGAAAATCTATATTCGATAAGAAAACCCATTTTTATTTATTTTCACTAGAAATTAAGAACTCATAACTCGGTCATAATCGATCGAAACTACTTCATGGAATACCAATATATACCAAATTTTATTCGCTAAATCTGATTCTCGACCAGAGAGTCGTAAAAAACACTTGCTCCTTTCTAGATATCTCGTTCGAAAATCAGTGCAGTTTCTATTAATTCTTAAAACTTTTATAGAAATGCTTGGTATGGTGAAGATTCAATTGATTGTTGCGGGTTCTTTGTTTTCAATGATAATAACTAAAAACGGTTTTCTCTTCATCTTTTCCTTCATTTCTGAAGTAGCCGCAGCAGTCATCAGAAATTGGTTCTTAATCACTTGAAAAATGCAATATTACGCGAAAACAATGAAAGATAAACGGCTCTCTCACAGCTTTACTTTCAAATTTATTTTCTATTTTTTCTGTTATAGTCTTGGTCTCAAAATAGTGAAAGTTCATTCCCTCTATCTTTCTTCGTTCCAGAGTTATTCAAAACACAACCACTGCCATTCTATTTCAAAATGGACAGTAGTTACCTAACTAACGGCGAATGGTGCACGAGTAGTGGAACTAGAACTAGTGACAATAGCGTATCATTTATATTGGAAGTACTGGTGATATACAAATCTTTTACCTCATCATGTTCTTTCCGCTCGACAGCAGGAGCATTAGGTATGGTTTGATTGTTTCGACGTAACTAAAACATTATATTTGTTTCATGCCAAGTACCGATGCCAGCCAGCATCCTTCTTTATTTTAATAACTTATAAGATGTGGAATCATTTGTCCGAAGTATAAAGAGACAAAAACCGGTCTAATCCATTGGTTAACATTTTCAAGCGAATGAAACTGGTTTTAACTACGAGTCACTCATTTCTCAATACGAATAATCTTCACTATATTAAGCTCTTCAACACAGTCGACATAATCATAAAGATTAAAGAGTCGAGATAAGAGCCTAGGTACATAATTCAGAACACAAAATAAGCATGTAGAACAAATCACTGTTCAATTCTCACTGTTTTCAAGTGAAACTAGTCTAATCACACGCAGTAGACAATTCTCAGTAAGAATATATCGTTCTAATTCTCTGTGAATGAAATTCTGCGTGAAGTTTTTGGAAAGAATAAAAACGCTTTTCAGCTCTAGAAACTTTTGTGTAAAATAGGGAATGCATGATGCATTTTAGTGCA